ACCGTCGTCTATATAAGATACCAAACCCTACTTTCTTTGTCTCTGTATTTTATCATATTAGGAAAAACGAAAACCATGGTTCAGAGAAATCAAACCTGCAACTAAACAAGCAAATAAAAAATTGAATGTCATTTTAAAAACAACTTAGATCAATTTTAAGACGACGCTAGGACGACTGACGAACCGTCGTGGTCTACGTATTTAACCACGTAAATAAAAAGCTACCGTCGTCTTATTTAGTTGAGTTAGTTATGTTCAAAGTTCAATCTTTCCCTCTCTGTCTGTGTATTTTATCAAACTTGGAAAGAAAAAAATGATTTTCGCCAGAAAAAAGGTAAAAAGATTTTCAAAACAAAAACAGTATGAGCATGCAATATAGCAACAAAAATAGTGAGAAATGAAAGCTTACCTTTTGCGTGCAATGAAAGCTTTCTCTCGGATTTTGGTGTTTAAGTTCAGAGGCGACGACGAAGACAAGAGGAAGACGATGAGATACTCTGACAGTGCTCTGACAAGGAAAAAAGACGAAAAGTTTTCTCTGGGAGATTGAAATGTTTTCTCGGGTTTGGAAACAGTGCATGTGTAAGTCAGGTAGACGAAAAGTTGTATATGTATACAAACCGTTTCATAGTAATAAGACGGCGGTTTACATAGAACGACGACGTATTAATAGACAAACTACGACGCTAATTTGAACTTATGACGTGGTACATAAATACGACCGTAGTGTTGTAGGTACCGCCGTAGTAAACTCCTAAATAAAAGTCGATAACTCAATATCTCGCGTCATGGTAGAAATATTTAACACGACGGTTGTTTTAAATTTACGACGTTTATTTTTATAATATACGTCGTTTTATTGTAATATACCGACGTGGATAACACTAAACTAAAACGACGTATTATTTTTCCGACGACGTGGATTCGTTTTTAAACGTCGTTATGTGTAATATAACCGACGTGGATTTTATTTTTTTTATTATAAATATAATTTTTTTCCCCTTTTTCTTATAGTGTATTTTTCAAAAACAGTGCCTTATAGATATAGTTTTTTTTCCCGAGGAAATTAATGTTCTAGAATTTGTAAAGTTTCTTTTCTAGGTGACTGATTTAAATCAAATAAAAATATAAAACAACGACTGTTTTTGTTATACCGTCGTCGTTTCTTGTCGTTTTAAGTAAGAATAAAACGACGTAATATATTTGTTACCGACGAGAATTGTTTTTGTTAAACGTCGTTATGTGTAATATAACCGACGTGGATTTGGTTTTTTAATTATAAATAGGGTTTTTTTCCACGGGTTCTTTCAGTTTTAGTATTCGATTAGGGTTTCAACTTCTTCTTGCCCCTTTCTCTGTCTCACCTCATCTCTTGGGAAGTTTTAGGAGTCAATTGTTTGGATGTGAATGTGTGTGTGCGTTTGTGTAGATACACAAACGCACATACATCATTCACTTCCAAAAAATTGTCTCTCTGATTGCAAATCTGTGGCTGCCGTCGTGAAATTTTAGGAGGCAATTGTTTGGATGTGAATGTGTGTGTGCGTTTGTGTAGATACACAAACGCACACACATCATTCACTTCCAAAAAATTGTCTCTCTGATTGCAAATCTGTGGCTGCCGTCGTGAAATTTTAGGAGGCAATTGTTTGGATGTTGATGTGTGCGTGCGTTTGTGTAGATACACAAACGCACACATATCATCAACTTCCAAAAAATTGTCTCTCTGATTGCAAATCTGAGGCTGCCGTCGTCAAATTTCAGAGGCAATTTTTTGGATGTTAATGTGTATGTGCGTTTGTGTATCTCAAAGACACAAATACACATACATCATTAACCTCTAAAATATTGTCTTTCTGGTAAGATTATGATGAGCAACAGAGTTCCATCTTGTAAGATTTCCTAACCCTTGTGATCTCAGAATAATCTGATTATGTCGGCGGTTTTCTATATAAACCGTCGTGGTTATTTCAATTCTTGTCGTTAGGTAGATCTACCGACGTAGGATAACAAAATCGAAGAAATAAATTGTTAAAAAAAATTCTTATTCAGACGACGGTTTAAATATAATGTATGACGTATAAAGTGGACAAATACGACGTTAAATTCTATAATACGTCGTTATATGAAAACCCCAACTTGGTAAGATTTAAAGATGTCGTCGTAGAAATAAGAGAAAGACGTCGTTATATTTACCTTTGCCGTAGTTGTACATTAATTTAATACGGCGGTATTTTGTATTTTACCGCCGTGGATTTATTTGTAATTATACGGCGCCTTATACGAAAACTTGGTCGTGTTAATTTCTGGGTAAAAACGACGGCTTTTTGTGAAACCGTCGTCTTTACTTTCTACGTCGGTCGGTTCATAACTTCCGCCATTATTTGTTGGCTATGATTTTACCTCTTGAAAATCCTATTTGAATAAGACGTCGGTTTTTTAATTAAGTACGTCGTGTTTTAGGAACAGCCATTTGAAACTCCATTTTTTAGTTGTCTAATGTGTTATTACACGGCGGTTTTATAAAACCGTCGTCTTTTAAAAAACAACGACGGTTTTCACTTAGACCGTCGTGTTTTTCTGGTCGTCTTTTTCACTTTTTGTAGTAGTGTGCTGCGATAGTCAGAGGCATTACTTCATTAAATGGGGCATGGGACCCTGAGGCCACGTGGTGATTTACCCACAGTATCTTCGGCCGTGTCTTTTACGGCCTTGATAGGAGCATATTTATGCGACTTTGCTATCTTATTTCTTTGCATTTACTTAGTTAATTCCCATTTATTAGAGTGATTTACCTTATTTTCGTACTACTGTAGGTCCAGATGGCAAGATTGGCAAGAAAGGGAATTTTGGAGCATTTTAGAGCAGTTTTGGACTTGGAATGGATAGCATATGCATGGGCCAAGATGGATGGACGTTTTTGAAGTTCAAAGAGGCTAAGAATGTGCTAAAAAGATGGGGAAATTAATTGAAGAATCAACTTTTGGGAAGGAAAAAAAACCCTAACTGATTTTATTTTATTTTACCTTATCATAATCCTATTCTACCTAAATTCCAGCTGGAAAAGGGGGGGATTAATTTCATATTAGGAAACCTAAAAACCCTAATTTCGTGGGTTTTGTTGGGCCCTATCCTTATTCCTAAAGATATCTGCCAAACAAAACCCTAATTTCGTGGGTTTTTGCTGGCCCTTTTACCCTAGATCTACCACATATATAAAGGAGGGGTTGCCGCAGGAGAAGGGAGTTTTTTGGTGCCGTAGCGAGAAGGAGAAAGAGAGAAGAAGAACTTGGAGCCGGAACCTGCTGCATCCATTGGGGTTTTCAGAGTTCTTCCCTTGATTAGTTTAAATGTTTATTCTAGATTGCTTTTCAATTATTATGAACATGTGTGACTGAATTTCTTCTTAGTTAGAGGTTTATTCTTAGCCATGGACATATGTTTTATATGAATTGATTACTTCCAGTTATGGTTTCATAAAGTATGAATGTGATTTACTTTTCTGTTTTATTGAGGACTTATTCTTGCATGTTTATTAAGGATGCATACTTAGTTTGTATGCAGGGATTTGATGCTAGAGTATAAGGGAATTTCACCTAATCGTTATGAACTTATATTCACAAGTAGTAAAAGTCACTAGTCATGATTGCGTTAAGTAAATTCTTGGCAAGAGTATCATGCTTTTCATAGTTACAATTGCCTTGTTAAGGCTTATGATTTTCATAGAACTTAATGATCTTTGATATGTATCTCTATCATGCTGTTCATATAGAGAACTTGATAAGGATAATTTGATTGTGTCGCTGAGCCCAATTCAATGAACTTAGGAAAATCTGAGAGTTAATTAGTACATTCACAATTAATTTGGGGCTTTGTCATTCATACTTTATAGAAAGAGTAACTGGAGATCGATTTGTGTGCATATGTTCCATGTGTGGAGAAGAATCCTCTAGCTATCCCTTAATCCATATTTCATTCACAACTTAGTTGTTTGCTGCTGTCAGTTTTACTTTAGTCTAAATCGTCAAAACTCCCCCCAATCATTGTTCCCTTAACTTAGTTTTCAGTTTAATAAGTTTAATTTGTGTTGATTAGCATCCCTCCTAATCCCCGGAATAGAACGATCCCTACTTATGCGTACTACGATTGCATAATTTATAGGGTTTAATTTGTTTGTTCGTTATTTCTCACGCCAGGCCTTTGGCTTTGGCCTATAATACTGCGGTCGCGAGGCCGAGAGGATTCTGCCTTCTCAGCTTTTCTTTTGTTTTCAGGAAAGCAAAATGCCTACCGAAATATGGCCGTTTCAGTTCATGAGTAGGTGCTAGGGCCGAGAGGAGGTCCCTTCGGTCAGTTTATGACCGTGATTTATTAGGCACAAACATTGCCCCCACATCCCTGGATTCTTCAGTTGCGGCCTGGGCAGAGGCCTAATGGATTCCAAGGGATGGACCCTTTGCATTCCTCCTGAAGTGATTGACAGTTGGCGCCTTAAATGCGCAGGTCGGTCGGCGCATTAAATGCGCAAGCACGTCGTGCAGGCCATTATTGCCCAGACTTGCGCGAGGCGTCGCTTCGCCTCGCCAAATGAAACGACGGCCTTTGGGCTTCCGACACGTCATCACGCTCCTTAAGCACTGTTGGGTCGTTACGTCTCTCGAGAGAGCCACACCCTTTCGTTTTGAATTCTCGTGCCAATATAAAAACCCTTGCCTTCTTCATTTTTCTTTACTCTTTCAGAATCCTCAAGTCCACGCTCCTCAAAAGCTCTCTCTGAACTTTCTAGTTCCCTCAGCCTTCTCTCTTTGGCCAAAAAAAACTCTTCTCTTGTTCAGTGGCCTCTTTACTTGCTTTAAAATTTCTCGAGCCTTTCATTGATTCCTGGGCCTCGTTCTTCTTTCAACCCTTTCTTATCCATTCTAACCTGCTCTGATGGCCCCCCTGTAGCTTCTCCAAAACCGGGGTCGAGCCATATCCGTTGATCCTCGCGTTGTGGCCAGATGGTTTTTCCTCTCCTGCTGTCCACCAACTATCCTTCGTCTTGGAAAGTCGACGTAGGCCAAGGTCATGGTGTGGCCGAGATTCCTTCCCGGCCCTGGGAGAGGATGACCTTCCTCCTTATGAGGCCGGGGAGAAACTGTAATGCGATTGATGAAGATGGGAAGGCCAGGTATGATGATTCCAACTTGGCCACGTTCGTTTGGCTTAGCATCTCGGTTGCACCCATGTCCAGAGTGACGGCCCTGGCTTCACCCCGCCACATTTGTGCCCAGAATGATGGCCCTGGCCATGGCCTGAGTGACGGACTTGGCTTCAACCCGGCTGCACCCATGGCTGGAGTGACGGCCTTGCCCATGACCGCGGTCAGCGAAGATGTGGGCGGTGGAGGCACTGCCTAGGGAAGAATCATCTGCCTGCTCTAGCGAGGGGATCAAGAAGCGACCGTTCATAGATTTAGAATGTACTCTATTTTTCGCACATGTATGTTTATATGTCTCATTCGGCCATGACTGGCCGTTCTTTTTGTAACTGCGACCCCTTTCTTTTAATCTAAATGAAGTAGAACCCCCTTTTTCTTCTGACCGAATGTATGTTTTTCTTTCATCTTTGTCGTGTTGTTTACTCCATTTTTTTTTTGTAAACCTCATAACCCATTCTTGGTCGTCTCTCATAATGACGGGGTATATTTCTTCAAATACTAGCCGTTTATTGGCAAGTTGTGTCATTCTCCATCCCTATCTCTCAACTGAAATGCACCTCGGCCAAGAATTCGTTCGATAATAAACGGCCCTTCCCAATTGGGTGAATTTGCCGAGCCGAGGGTCCTTAGTCCCGATGGGCTTTTGTGCCTGCATTAGGCTATGAGCATCGAGTCTAGATTGCTCCAAATCTTCTAACTCCTGAGCCATGGCTTGCGCATAGTCCTTCCCTTCCTGCCCAGGTCGTTCGGTCACACGGAGAGACCGAACCTTTAACTCCATCGGAACGATGGCGTCATGGCTGTATGATAAGGCATAAGGGGATGTGCCAGTAGCCGATCGTTTTGAGACTCGGTAAGCCCAAAGGGCTGCAAGGAGTAAGTCATGCCACGCCCTGGGTTTTTCCTCAATCATGTTCTCGAGGATGCTCTTGATTACCTTGTTGCTCGCCTCGGCCTGTCCGATAGACTGTGGGTAGTAGGGTGTCGAGTGGACCAATTTGATCCCTATCCTTTTGGCGTATTCCCGAGTCTCGGCTGATGCGAAAACTGGGCCGTTATCGGCCGTGATGGTTTCGGGTATACAGAATCTGTGGACGATGTGATTTTCGAAGAATCTGACCACCTGTGTGCTAGAAATGGACCAACAGGACTCCGCCTCAACCCATTTAGTGAAATAGTCAGTTGCCACCAAAATCCAAGCGTGCTGGTTGGACGCGGCTGGGTAGATTTTGCAGATGATATCCACGGCCCATCATCTGAACGGCCATGGTTTAGTAACCGGGTGGAGGGCTTCAGCTGGTACGCTTTGTATGGGGCAGTAGATTTGACATTTGATACACCCTTTCGCATATGCTATGCAGTTCTTTAAAATGGTTGGCTAATAATAGCCGTGTATCCGGACCAACCATCTCATCTTGACGCCAGACTGGTGAGCGCCGCAAATCCCTTTGTGGGATTCAGTCATGACAACCTTAATATCTTCGGCGCTGGGGCATAGCCGTTTGATCCTTTTCGATACAGCTTGTTTTGATAAATCAAATAACACCGAGCTCGGAAACGAGTAGTCCTTTCATGGTTGCTGGAGGGATCGCGCAGATACTTTATTATGGGGTAGCGCCAGTCGCCTTCAGCCGTTTCGACCTCGTCGGTAATTTCGACCGATGATACTTGCGTCATCATTCCTCGCTCGGCCAAAGCCGACAGGGTACGCTTCTCGATTCTTATCACACGGTCGTGGTCGTTGTCCGGAATGTTCACACCTGACGCTACCTGGGCCATCTCATTGGCCTCATGGTGTTCGACGCGCGGCATGTGAACGAAGGAGATCCTAGAAAACTCGTTGGCTGTATTGAGGGACGTCACATAATACACGGTTAAATTCTCGCTCGTGCACTAGTATTCCCCAGTCAATTGGTTAATTAGCAGCTGAGAATCACCGTAGACCAGGACACGGGTTGCCTTCATTTCTTTTAGAATTTCAAGACCAATGATGAGCGCTTCATATTCGGCCTGATTATTGGTGCATTTGAAATCAAGTTGGAACGCATATTGCCACCTTTGTCCTTGGGGGGACTCGATCACGACCCCGGCCCCAGATCTGGTCTCGGTACTGGAGCCATCGAAGTACATGGTCCAGTAGTTCTTCTCCATGCGAGCCATGCCGATCTTGACCTCCAACTCTTCTTCCTGCCCCTGAGCGGGGTGGTGGGCCAAGAAATCGGCCAATGCCTGACCTTTGACCGACGTCACATAATACACGGTTAAATTCACATATTGGAAGGTGAATTCGGACAATGCCATCGTCCACTTCCCGATTCGGCCGCGTATGATCGGCCGAGTGAGCATGTATTTGATGAGGTCAGTCTTGGAGATGATCTGAACTAAAGTGCCAAGCATATAATGGTGCGGCTCAACTGCTTGGTAGTCGCGAAATAAAGTGCCAAGCATAATTTCTCGATCGGTGAATAGTTTAGCTCGGCCATGTTAAGGGTGCGGCTCAGATAGTGCACTGCTTGTTCTCGTTCAGACTCGTTGTTCTGAGCCAGCAGACAATCGATAGAGCCCTCTGAAGCCGAAATGTAAAGCCTCAAGGGTTTCCCTCTTTTGGCGGCATAAGGACTGGTGGTTGAGATAAATATTTCTTGATGTCGTCGAGGGCCGCTTGATGTTCTGCCCCTCACACGAACCGTTCCGTGTCTTTCAGTTTGAGCAGAGGAGTCAACGGCCGGATTTTCCCTGCCAAATTGGATGTGAACCGTCTTAAAAAGTTGACCTTACCGAGGAAGGACTGGAGTTCCCTCTTGGTCCTTGGCGGAGGTGCTGCCATAATGACCATGGCTTTATTTTTATCTACCTCGATCCCTCGTTGGTGAACCAAAAAATCGAGAAAGTTCCTGGCGGTGACGCCGAAAGCACATTTCTTAGGTTTCATCTTTAGGCCGTGTGCCCGCATTCAATTGAAAGCCTGTCGGAGATGCCCCACGTGGTCGGCTTTAGATGGGGACTTTACAACAACGTCGTCAATGTAGACTTCAATGGTTCGGCCAATTAGGTCGTGGAAAATAAGGTTCATAGCTCGTTGGTACGTCGCGCCAGCGTTCTTCAGGCCGAATGGCATGACCACCCATTCATAAGTCCTGATTGCGCCTGGACATCTGAACGTCGTCTTGTGGACATCTTCCTTGGCTATGAAGATTTGGTTGTAACCAGCGTGGCCGTCCATGAAAGATAGGAGCTCGTGCTTCGCGGCTCCGTCCACCAGGGGGTCGCGAGGTTTATATTTCTGTAGTCGGTGCAAACCCTCAAAGCCCCAGTCTTTTTCAAAACTGGTACGATGTTAGCCAACCACTCAACGTACCAAGCCGTGCGGATGAAGCCGGCTTTAAGGAGTCGTTCAATTTCCTCTTTGACCTTAAGTTGTACTTCGGTCGAGAATCACCTCGGCGACTGTTGGAAAAGCCTAAACCCCTCCTTAATCTTTAGTTCGTCCTCGACCAAACTTCTTGGCAATCCAGGCATCTCATGATAATCCCAAGCAAAACAATCCTTATATTCACGGAGCAGGCCGATAATCTCGGTTGCGAATTCAGGGTTCAAAAGCTGGCTTACAAAAAGAGGCCGTGGTTCGGGCTCGGTCCTTACATTTATTTCTAATAACGGGTCTTGGACCTCAGGGTAGTCATCCTCCATCTCGACGGGCGCTGTTTCCACGTCGTCAGAGGCTAAAGTGTCCGCCTCATCTGATTCGTGGAGGAATTCGATTAGGTTGATCGGCTAGTTTGGCTATAAGGATTCCTCCGCCCAATGTTCCAGCAGTCCTTCCAGCAGGGCGGTCACGGCCGCTGCTCCCTCTTCTTTAGTGGCTTTGTCTATCATCTAAAGGCTAGTGAGGTCGATCAATACTCAGCGCGCCGAATCTTGTCGAACATTCTCGGCGCCTAACTCCAGCACTTTCTAGGCTGTTGTCCTTGTTGGTCGTAAATTCGTGCTTGCACGGCGTTGGTTTCGAAGGGTTTTTCGTCGGCCGGGTATATGGATACCCTCTGGCCGTCCCAAAAGAACAACAGTTGGAAGAGGGAGGACGGTATGCATCCGGACCGATGGATCCAGTCACGACCGAGCAATATATTGTAGTCCACACTAGATTCGACTACGTAGCAGGCCGCGACTCTTGTCTGGTCAGCCACGGTGATTTTTAACTGCAATACCCCGATGGTCTTGGATTTATCGCCGACAAAGCTGCTCATGACCACGTCGCTGGGGATGAGGTCTTCTTCATCAGGGAATAGGGAAGGATGTTGACCGTCGCCCCACAGTCATCAAAGACCTTGGACACGGGCACACCCTCTACATGAGCTGAGATGTACAACAGCTTGAGGTGTCGGTATTTGTTTGGCTCGTCTCTGGGTATTACCTCGTTAAAAGCCACGGCTAACAACTCTTCCTTTGATTTTTGCCTTTGATCAAGTTGCTCCTCGGCCACGTCATTGTCCAGGCCGTTGGTCTGGCCTCCTAGGGCTGAAAACTCGGACGGTAGCACCAAGACCATGTTCATGCTGACCTCCTTTGGCTCCTGCTGGTTTCCCTCGTATTCCTCATCGGAGATTCCCAATGTGGGGTCGTCTTCGGCCTCGTGTCCAAAAAAAGGGTCGTCGAGGCCCTCGACCATAGGCCGTGCAATCTCAGGGGTATCATCTATGGACGCTTTGATCTTAGGGGGGTCCGAGGCCTCGACCTCCTCCTCGAGAGCTTCTTTAGCCTTAGCTAACGCATCCCTGGCCGTTAAGTAGTTGTCCAGATGGCTTACCCGGGCCATTTCCTCAGTCATCAAACCAAAGATAGTGTCGGCTGGGGTCATAGTAAAATATTGCCGGAGGTATTCTGAGCCGCTCCTGCTAAAAGGGGCCTTCTCCTCCAATCTTCCCCGATCGGGTCGGTAACCTGGCATCCCTCTTGCCCTGGCCTCTCGGTTTGCCTGGTATACGGCCTTAACGGCCGAGTCGGATCCGCTGGTAACGAGGAGCCCCTCCGCCTTAGCGTTTTTGAGAGCCAACTCCACAATTTCACAGTTCTCAGGGGTCATGCCGTATAGGTCGGTGGCCGAGTGGTCCTTATGGAATTCCATGAGAAAGGACAAACCGTTGGCCGAAAAAGGGGGGTCTCTTCCGTGGTAGACGTCGATGATACCCTCATCTGTTTTCTCCAGGGCCGTGGCCTTTGGCTCTACCAAAATGGCTTCCATTCCGCGGGGATAACCGTCCTGCCTAGGGCGCCACGTCCTCGGAGGCTTGACGATTGGTACGGATGGTGGCTCGTCTGCGGTCGCCATCTTCTTTTGGCGTTTTAATCCCTCGACCTGCGCCGTTTGTATCCTGGCCTACTGAACTTGTCTCTGCATCCTTCTCAGCTGGGTTTTTGTCAGCGGTTCGGCACTGCCCCCAGGTCGTGCGTGATACCAACGGTCATCCCTTATGACCGATGGTTTGAAAGTCTTCACTGGCCTAGGAGCGGCTTCGTCTTTGTGGCCCGCCGAGGTACTGGGGCTTTGTCCCCCTAGTCGGTCGAAAACAGCTCTGTTTGCTGGCCGACGGTCGTACTGGCCATCGTATTTCTTCATAGTTGGTTGAGATGGCTCGGCGGCCTTTCTTTTGTCCTCTGGCGATCTGAGCTGACCGTTCTTATACTTGAACCGACTGTACGGTACCAGCTCTGTTTCGGCCAACGACTCCTTTCCTTTTGCCGGCCGATGAAGTTCCCTATATTCGGCCCGGAGCTGAGCATTGACCATGTTGATGACAGGTGGAGGGAATGGCTTGGAGTCGACATGCATGGCCGCCTTTTCAGGGAATTGGATCTTCTTTTCGTCTATCAACTTCTGGTTGACGTCTCGTAGAACAACGCAGTTGTTGGTGTTGTGAGACCAAGAACTGTGGTATTTGCAGAACGTCTTTCCTTTGAGCTCTTCGGGTTTCATAATTTTATGGCCGAAGGACAAGTTGACCTTTTTCTCACTCAACAGTAGGTCAAAGATAGCTTCGGCCCTGGTCAAATCAAAAGTGTAGGCCTTGACAAGTCCTTTGTAGACGAATGGTTTGTCTATGCTGACTTCAGTTGAGCTCATCTCAACTTCGTCGCTCTCGGCCTCTGTGAGGCCGTCTGCTTCGGCATAGCTGACAACGGGATTCCGATATTATGTCCCTTTTGAAGCCGTCCTCTTTTGCACCTCTTCTTTCAACAAGGATGTGTATCGGTCCACCTTGTTGATCAAATCGTGCATGTCCTGAAATTCAATTCCCTGGAATTTCTTTCGATATTCGAATTCCAACCCTTCTTCGGCATTCTTGACAAATTCCCTCTCCGGTAGGTTCATGCGGCACCAGTTCCTGCATGTTTTGAACCACTGCAGGTAGTCGCGAGGTGATTCATCTGACGCTTGGCTCATCCTTGCCAGCTCGGCAACCGTTATTTCTCGGTTGGTCTGATAGAAATGTTCGTGGAATATCCTTTCCATGTCAGACCAATCCCTCACCGAATTCGGTGGAAGGTTTATGAACCATGAGAACGCCGTGCCGGTCAGAGAGTGAACGAATAAACGGAGCCTCTGGGCGTCCGAATTGGCCTTTCTGCACTGGGCCGTGAAGCGGCCTATGTGTTCAATGGAGGAGGTCTGCCTATTCCCGGAGAATAGAATGAATTCTGGCAACCGATAGTTTCGGGGAAGAGGGGTTCGGTCAATTTCTGGCGGGTACGGTTTGGTATACTTTGACGCTTCCGGGCGCCTCTGAGCCAGGCCATCCTCAATCATTCGCTGGACGTCTTCCAATCGGAGCCCCTAAGGGGGCGCTTCTTGCTGAGCTGCAACCGGCCGCAGAACTTGTTGCCCCTTTTTCTGTTGGCTTATCTGCTGGGCCACTTGAACAGGGGGTTCGGCCGTTGCGACCGAGCCGGGCGGCACTAGAAAACCGCCATGGGTTTGACCAGGGTGCGTGTGCTGTCGTTGGAATGGCCGAACCGTAATGAAGGTGGGAGTCTAGCGAAAATAACGACGCTTGTAACGGCGAAACGGTCGGATTGCTCTGACCGTACTGCTGTGACGAGGCAGCGATCGCATTGCTTGGGCCAGGATGGGTCTGGACGGCCATGGTGTGAACTGGGCCGAGTTGCTGGGCCGCGGAATGCGTGGGGCTGCTTTGCCCTAGTGATACGGCCAAAGCATGGAGTGGGTCGTACGCTGTTTCTGCTGGGCGGGTCGGTTTGGGATTTACCGATGTTGGCTAGGATTACCCCCAGCTATTTGCCGGCGGCTGAGAATGCTGGTCGTAGCCTGACGCTTGGGTGCGGCCAGAGGCGCCGAGGCTGCTGCTTTCGCTGTAGGGCTCAAACCTCTCGCGTCCTTGGCCTCTCTGTCTGGCTCTGGGAGGCATCGCGGACGACGTTACCGGCATCCTTTCCTAAAAGAGCGTACGTAGCTCCGACGAAAGTCTGTCCATTACGGCCATAAAGGATGTCTCTATCTTGTAGGCCTGCTTAGCCATCAGACCCTCCACTACAGCTTGCTCTTGCATGGACTCGGCCGCACGATCCATCGTTACTGGAACGCTGGCCGAGATTCTGACCGCATGTTCGGTCTCGGTGATAGTGATTGGTGAGGTGGACTCAGGAGCCTCGGAAGTCATTTCGACTGTTTTGTTTTTGACCTTTGCCTGTTCCCTAGTTTCCACCATGCGTTTTTGACAAGAGTCCCACCAGGCATGCCAAAAGTGTTGGCTGTGCCAATCTCATGGCCTGATTCTTCGGGCCGAGGGGATGTGCGTTAACACGTGACGTCCTTCTTTTGGATGCGGTGCGGTTGCGGGCGTGCCAGCACAGTCTACCGTGCGTCGAGATGGTGATGAGGTTTGGGTAGAAGATGGTTAAATTATGCGCCTGTTTTGAGTTCGACTCCTAATCAAACGATTGTGACCGAGAGAGGAACTGATCTCGGCCGTCATGTTCACGGCCTGAACTACAAGGCCGTTTAGTGGTGGTGTTGGTGGACGGTTTTAGGCGGTGCTCCGGCGCGTTGCTTAGAGAGCGATGGTCGTATGATATATGGGGTGAATGAGACGATAACAAAGATGATGCTCCGGCGCCTTGAAAATCAAGGGTCATATGATATATTGATGAATGGATTTTCCTTACAATCTACCACTACTCCTAGGAAAGCAAATAAAGGTATTGAAAGTGCATTACAGGAAAATATAATTTGCTCCGTGGGAGGCTTTTGGTTTGGTGTTTGAACCCCTTGAATGTGGTCTTGAGCTTAGTATTTATAGGGGGAGTCCTGGAGGGACAATCGAGGCTGAAAAGATCTGTGTGATGGAGCCTGATCGGGGCAAGTGGGTAGTCAAATCGGCATTTGGGATCGTGAAGCATGGTGGTGTGACCCCCATAAATCCCGGTAAATCTCGGCCACCGCCTTGATCGTAGGTTCTGCCCCCTTGGCTGTGGGAATGCATTTAATGCCCTGGTCTTGTGGTTGGTGATATGACCTCAAGTGGTAAGAATACTTGTGATAATGTTTGCGCCTAACCACTCTGATTTCCATCACCAAATCCTGACTTCAGTCACTTCCCTTCTTCCCTCGTGCATTAAATGCTTCTTGCGACTAATGGGTTTACTGCGATAGTTAGAGGCATTACTTCATTAAATGGGGCGTGGGACCCTGAGGCCACGTGGCGATTTACCCACAGTATCTTCGGCCGTGTCTTTTATGACCTTCGGCTTAGGCCTATAATACTGCGGTCGCGAGGCCGAGAGGATTCTGCCTTCGCAGCTTTTCTTTTGTTTTCAAGAAAGCAAAATGGCTAACGAAACATGGCCGTTTCAGTTCATGAGTAGGTGCTAGGGCCGAGAGGAGGTCCCTTCGATCAGTTTATGACCGTGATTTATTAGGCACAAACATCGGGAAACTTTACCGACGATACAAACTTTAGAAAATCTTTTTTGTCATCCGGTTTCATGGAAAAAAATGCCAGATCCCTTCTAGCTTTATCACCGTCCCTGTTCATCCATAAACCTCTTCGTATGCCCATTCTTTCCAAATCAAGACGAGCTTTGATTGTGTCGTTTGTCTTGCCCTCAATGTCTAGAATCGTACCTATCAAAGTGTCAAACACATTTTTCTCAACATGCATAACGTCGAGATTGTGCCTCAATTTTAGTTTCGACCAATATGGGAGCTCAAAGGACATAGACTTGTGCGTCCAGTTCATATGTGTAGAAGGTCTGGTCCAACTAACTGTTTTGCTGAACAGAGCAAAATCCAAACGGTTAAGCTGTTCCAAGATGTCATCACCAGACCATTCTCTAGGTCTGAGGTGACGCTCTGTGTTCCCGTCAAACTCTTTATCCTTTTCCCGCCATTCGTGGTCCCATGGCAACCATCTCTGATGCCAACTAGAAGTTACATCTTCCTTGCATACAGGGCATGCCATATAACCCTTTGTGCTTCACCTAGAAACCATTGCATATGCGGGAAAATCATTCACAGTCCACATCACTGCTGCCCGCAAAGTGAACATCTTCCCAATGGATTTATCGTACGTGCGCACACCGTTTGCCCATAAATCCTTGAGCTCATCAACCAATGGCCTTAAGTAAACATCGATTGACCTGCCAGGATCCTCAGTTATCAAAACAGTCATCATCATGTACTCTTTTTTCATGCATTTCCAAGGCGGCAAATTATATGGAAATACGAAAATTGGCCAAGTGCTGTGGTGTTGGTTTAGAACCCCGTACGAATTGAATCCGTCAGTGGCAAGTCTCAATCTAACATTTCGCGGATCAGCAGCAAAGTCAGGGAACGTTCGACCGAACTCTTTCCATGGTTCCCCATTTGCAGGATGCCGCATCACATCATCGTCTACCTGATTTTCCTTATGCCATCTCATGTCTGTGGCAGTATGTGTCGACATATACAATCGCTGCAGCCTAGGTTTTAGAGGCAGATAATGCATGACTTTTTGTGGGATCTTAGTCGTTCTATTCTGAGATGTCATAACCCAATCCAAGACCATTCAACACCTTCTGCATGTGTTTATGGTCTTTCGGCAAACAATTGTTCGTCGGAAGCATTCTCTTGAAAACCCCCAAAAAGTAATCGAAACACAGGTTCGACATACGATATTTTATTTTTCCGTGCATTAGCTCCACAATGGCCGTGAGAACGGAAAAGCTCTTGCACCCCGGGTATAACTCTTGGTTGGCATTTTTTAACAGTTTTTCATATTGTTCGAATTCTGCACTGTCCATTGGTGTAGGCACGTCATCTTCCCCTTCCTGATTGATGTTCGTCGATGCAAATGGAAAAGCATCGTTTATAATATCTATGACTTGTTCATTAGGATCCACAATAGGTTCAACATTGTCCACTCTTGTGGCATTTGAAGACGAAGCATTGTCTAATTGTTCCCCGTGAAGGTTCCAAATGCTATATGTCTCAATCATTCCATTCCTTACTAAATGAAATCCAGCATTTTCAATTGTCTCCCACAATGTGTTGTTACACCTCCTACAAGGACAACGGATTCTAGTTGCACCCGGGTTGTGTCTATGTGCGAACTCAATAAAATTCTCTATTCATCCAAGTATTCGTCTGCGCATCTATTTGGGTTCTGTATCCACAGCCTGCTCATAATTCCTGGAACCACAATCACAACACAACAATCACAAAAACTTCATACAAAGTTATAATGTCACCTTATGTCTCCGGTAAGGGTCATATCCCATTTGGGAATGCATAGTCCTGTCACGTAACATACGGCTACATGAGATTAGATTTCAACGTGGAAGAATTTCGGCAGCATCTTGATACAGTTCTTGAGGTGGGCATAGGCATAAATACCTATGTACCACCCGAAGAACATACCGAGATGACACCGAAATTTCCACAATCGAAACCTAGTCCTGTAGCCGTAGATTACGTGACAACACTATGCATTACCAAACTGTCCAAATAATGGGTCAATTCAAGAATTAATTGGACCGCAGTCATGCATTACGCATCCATACACGAAATCCAACTAATCTCGAACGGGAAACTAAGTTTTAGTACAATAAAAAACAAAGTACGAAGTTAATTTCAATTAACTTCGTACATCACAACACATTGTGCTACGTAACGGAAAATTCAACAACATAATATAAATATAATTTCACAACAAAAAATATAAAAACAATCAAATACCTTCTCAATCGTTTTCCACCAATCGCTAATTACAATTATCCCTAAAGACAACGAAATTAATCGCGTTAGTGTGAATTTAAATTAATACTTTCAAACTAACGACTACAAATACATACCTAAAGACCGTAGTCAACTCCCAGCATTAGCAGAAGCTGCAGCAGATGAAGAGGCAGAGCAGAGTTTTTTTTTTTTTTTTTTTTTTTTTTTTTTTTTTTGAACTCTCTGCAATGGCAGAATCCAGTATATGAAGAAGAAGACTTTTGCGCGACGAACATTTTTCGCGCAAAAAAAATAAATTCCATCGCGCAAAATCCCAAGTTCGTCGCGCATGTGTCCCGTTTCGTAACCAAATTTTTTTTTCAGCTCGCAACTTCGTGTCGACATCCAGCTTTTGCGCAACGCAAAAGTTTTCGTCGCGCAAAATTAAGCATCCGTCGCGCAAGGTATAAGCGCAAAGGTTTCTTTTGCGACGATTGTTGTCGTCGCGCAAGTGTTTGTCGCTAGATATTAAAATTGGCGGTTTTTATATAACTTTACGCGACGAAAACATTTTTTGTCGCGCTAATTGATTTTGCGCGACGATATTGGTTGTCACGCAATGTTTTGACGCCATAAAAACTTTCCCGCATTTTTGTTCCTCCCTTTGCGCGACGACCAGCTTTTGCGTCGCTCAAAGTGCTCTTGCATGACAGAATATATTTGTCGCGCAACTTTTTCACAGTTTGCGTGACGAATTTGTTTTTCCGTCGCATAATTATCTCTTGCACGACGAATTTTTCTTCGTCGCGCAAAATACGATCGCGCAAATAGGAAAATGTAGTAGTGTTCCCACAATGCTTCTATACTTTTCCTCACTTGCAGATCCACTTCCATCATCTTTAGATAACTTCTCAGTAGCTACAAGAGGAGTTGTGAAAGTCTTTGCTTCATTTAATCCAAACTTACTTAGTAAAGAACTTGCATACTTCTTCTGATGAATGAAGATGCTAGAGTTAGTTTGAATCACTCCCATTCCGAGGAAGTGATGAAGAAGTCCCAAGTCTGTCATCTCATACTTCATTTTCATGTCTTCCTTGAACTCTTCCAGCATTTTTGCAACTGCCAGTGTAGACTATATCGTCCACATAGATAGAAACAGTCAAGATATCTTCTCCCCTTGCTTTTATGTACAAAGTTGGTTCACTCAAGCTCTTCTTGAAACCACACTGTGAGAAATAATTGTCAATCTCTCCATACCAAGCCCTCGGAGCTTGTTTTAGGCCATAGAGAGCCTTATGAAGCTTGTACACCTTTTCCTCCTTGCCTTTGACTACAAAACCTTCCGGCTGCTCAACATAAACCTCTTCTTGTAGAACTCCATTCAAGAAAGCCGATCTAACTGATACAGTTTCCAGCTCTTTTGTGCAGCTAAGGCTATTAAGGTTCTAATGGTTTCCAACCTAGCATCCGGTGCATAAGTCTCATTGTAGTCCAAACCAGGCTTTCGTGCATAGCCCTTTGCAACCAGCCTCGCTTTATTCTTCAACACTGTGCCATCAAGATTTAACTTGGTTTTGTAGACCCATTTAACCCCTATAACAGGTTTTTCAGTTGGTCTGTCAACAAGTGTCCATGTGCCATTTTTTTCAATCATAAAAAGCTCATCCTCCATAGCTTTTAACCAAGACTTGTCTTGTTTGGCATCCTCATACTTCTCTGGATCCATAATGCACAGATTGCATTAAGCTAACACTTCATTCAGATTTCGCCACTTCAAAGGTGTATGATCAAATGCTTGATTGTGCCCTTCACTTAAGTTTGACATGCTTGCAGATTCACCTGAGATAGGTGACTTGAATTGAACTTCAGAGTCTTCAATACTAAGAACTCTCCTAGGTGGAGATAATGTAGATGATATAGGAGACAACACCATTCTATCATTGCTTCCTGTGCTTATGTCACCATGAAAAACTTCCAGCATTGGGGGATATTGACTCTGAGTTCTCTTCCCAATTCCAGGCAGCTTCTTCATCAAATACAAGGTCTCTTGAAAAGAATAGTTTCTTGGATAGTGGATCAAATACCCTATACCCCTTTTCACAAGTTGCATAACCCACAAATACTCCCTTGAAGCTTTTAGGCTCAAGCTTATGTCTGCGTTCAACTGGAATATGAACATAGCATAGTGAGCCAAATACTTTCAGATGTGCTATTCCTGGTTTTCTTCCAGAATAGGCTTCAAAAGGTGTGGTGTTGTTTAAGGCCTTTGTGGGACACCTGTTTAGAATGTACACTGACGTATGCACTGCCTCTGCCCAGAGAAAATATGGCATTTTCTTCTCATGCAACATGGATTTAGCCATCTCAATCACTGTTCTGTTCTTCCTCTCCACTACTCCATTTTGTTGTGGAGTATATGCAAGAGTGAATTGCCTTTGTATTCCTTCCTTTTCACAGAATAGATCGAATTCAGACGACTTGAACTCCCCTCCTCTATCACTTCCCAGACACTTAATCTTGAATCCACTTTGTAACTCTGTCATAGCTTTGAATTTCCTAAAACAATTGAATGCATCAGACTTATATCTCAGAAAATAAACCCAAGTCATTCTGGAGAAATATCAACAGCATGAAATACTTATTTCCAGCAATTGAATCATTCCTCATAGGTCCACACAGATCAACGTGAACCAGTTCAAGTGGAGCAGTTGCTCTTTGCGCTTGATTTCTTGGAAATTCTTCTCTATGTTGTTTTCCAAATTGGCAGCCTTCGCATACTCCACTGTAGTCTTCAAGCTGAGGCAACCCATGCACCATTTCCTTGTCTCTCAATTGTTTGACACCACCAAAGTGTAAGTGTCCAAGTCTCCTGTGCCAAGTCTCAGTAGAGTGAGTGACACTAGCTTTTAAAACCACTTGGTTCTCAGATAATGAAGCCAATGGATAGCATCTATTCACTTTCTTCTTCACTTTCATAACCAAGCTTTCTAGTGACGGACCATCATACACACTGCACATTCCACCACCAAACACCAAGAAATATCCATGCTCATCCATTTGACCTACACTTAGCAAATTTTCTTTTAAACCAGGCAGGTACATTACTTCTCTAACATACTTTCTGCCCTTATTTGTATCAATCACCAATGAGCCCATTCCAGCTACATTCACAAGATCACCAGTCAGCATTTGAACTTTGCCAGCTATGTTGGTTCTTATATCAACAAGCAATTCTATATTCCCTGTCATGTGGTTGCTACAACCACTATCGATGTACCATTCTCCATTCACCCTTGGTCCTGTGACTGTGCTATTTGCATAAAATAAATTCCATGTCATCTCCAATTGACTAGCACTGTTTTCCTTTTGCACTATTTTAGCTGCAGTACATTCTCTAGCCAAGTGACCAAATTTGTCACAATTGTAGCACTTTGGCTTGCCTTTGTATCTGCATTCTCCAAAATGGTACTTTGAGCACACTTTGCACTGAGGCTTTACAGCTTCTTGATTTGCTGGCTGTGATGAACTGAAGCTGTGATATGCTGCAATGTTATTCTGATGTTGCTTTCCTTTTGACTCCCATGAGTTCCCCTTAGGATTCCAATTCTTCTGAGACTTCTGACCACTGGACTAAGAATTTCCCCTATTTTGTTGTCCTTTTGAGCTCACAGAGAAGAAGGCAAATGCCTTATCAGTAGCATCAACAGTGTGCATATCAAAACGTTGTTCCTGGCTTTTAAGGATAGCAAGGATCTCCTGTAATTCAACAGTCTCTATATTCTTCGTATTTTCAATTACAAGACAGATAGGATCATATGGTTTACTAAGGCTAATCAGAACTTTCTGCACAAGTCTTGCATTAGGCAGAATTTCACCAAACGTTTTCATTTGATTTATCAATTCATTTAGCCTAGTAAGATACCCAGACAAGGTTTCATCATCACGCATTCTAGCATATTCGAATTCACGTCTCAGATTTTGCAATTTCACAGATCATACCTGATCACCACCGTGATAATCTCCGTACAACAAATCCCATGCCATCTTCGCTGACTCAGCATTGGCAATTCGAGGAAAGATTTGATCCGAGACTGCATTCTGAATGATTCCTAAAGCCTTTGCGTCTTGCATCAACACAACATCCATTTTTCCATCAACATCATCCTCCAATGATTCTTCAGCCTTCTTCTTCTCCGAATCAGAAGTTTTAACTCCCTTCTCTACCAAATTCCACAACCCATGTGATTTGAAAATCATCATCATCTTGATTCTCCAGAACTCGTAGTTCTCACCAGAGAAAATTGGAGTTCTCACTTCGGAGCCTCCAGATCCAGACATCTTTGGTCTGAATGGGTCGATTCCTCTTCTCATATGAAAATGGGTCTCTGGCAACTTCCACCGAGCTTCAACTCAGCTCAATGGATTCACAAATTTACGCCCAGGCTCAAATGATCGAACCTGGCTCTGATACCATGTTACAGTTTTTGGTATTCTAGCTGGGTTTTTTGCGAATGGTTTTTTTGTAAGAGAAGAATAGAAGAATCAGATAGAATGAAAACTGCTCCGCTTACACACCAAGTCTGTGTGCCATATATTTTGTATATATTTTGTCTGTATGTAAGAATGAATCTCAGCCATCCATCTAACCAAAAAACTAGAGTCACCACATATGACTATTTTGACCTCACACTTGGCAGATATGCTCAAGTGAATACACACATAAAGTTCATCTTATTACACTAATACTAATCAGCTACAGACTTATAATTCAACAGAGGATGCAACTGCAGCTGGAGGAATTCTTGATGGCACTGCTAGCTTTGGAAGCTCATATGCCGCAAACCTAAGACCATGGGTTAAAGCTTCATGCTGATCTTGGTTACAGAAGTTGCTGATATTTAACATTCCAGAGCGCTCATTCTCGGGAATATAGGGCTGAGCACCTTTCTCTAGTGCTTGCTGGACATAGCCATTGAGGAATGAAAGGCTTTTATCAATCTGCAAGAGAAGATGAATATTAATATTACACAAAATAATCTTATTCAAGAAATAAATAAATGGTTTCCGCATGATCCAAAATCAAGGTTTTCAAGCATATTAGAGAAATAAAATTGTAAAATCCATGAAAAGAGCAACTTATAACTAAAGGGAAGAAATAAGATGCAAGGACCAGGGACGAAGCAGTCGGGAAACTAATTAAAGCATGTCGTGTATTACCAACCAAAGGCAGCTACATAAATTAAGTTTCGCCAGTATAATAGATGCATATTGGTCAAATAAGCAATTTTAATCATTCATAAACTGATTCCGAATTTTTCACAATCTATATCATCATGTTTATATGCGCCAAAACTACAATAAAGCAATCTTTGTATTTTTTTTTACAGGGAAATCTACAATTAGTGCCTGCAGCACGAGCATAATACGGGGGGTGTATCCAATTCAAATTTTTAATGACTTTTATAGAGTTTAAAAGTCTGGAGGTATTCAATTTAGACTTTTAAAGAATATATAAAAGTCTAGTGGTATTCAATTGTGACTTTTAAAAAGTATTTAAAAGTTTGGTGATATTCAGTTATGACTTTTAAAAAGTATTTAAAAGTTTGGTGGTATCCAAAAAGTTAATGACTTTTAAAAAGCTTATTGAATGAATGACTTTTCCGTACTTTTAAGGCTAATTGTTAAGAGCAAAAGTCTTGCCAATTTACTAGTGACTTTTATCAATTCTATGAGAGTATTTAAGAATTTGTCATCTCTATGAAAGTCATTCACTTAAAAAAGAGTCTTTATAAGTATGAATTGGATACACCCCCTAAGTGTCAAGCAATAATAAGGCTTCAGAAACCCATGTACAATTTAATAATGATAACTGACATTATCACAATTGGGACGTGAAGATTATTATCTTCACATTGATCCATGCATGCATACATACACGAGAATGATAAAAGAAGGGAAAGCAATAATTTGCTGACCCTATTAAAACCTGTGCAGTTGATAACTTATACATTCATAGCACATTTTCAAAATTTACCAAATAAAATATCGGAAGGTCAAGAACAGCATTAACCAAACAATACATGACATCTTTCTACTTAAACAGAGTAAGGTATCTATGAATGTATATATGTATACAGTTACCAAATAAGGTATCTAGTCAGATTATTATCTACTTTTTCTTTTGGACCAAAAAAAGTCCCTCATTTAATGATTTGCTTGCAATTGTCAGATATGGGCTCTTACTTTTTCTCAAACTTCATCCCATAAGTAGTACGGATAGGGCATATTTAACAAGGAAGCAAGCAAAGCTATTCCTTCCGCATTCACAGTCAGTTAGGATACATGTTCATTTTTCATAGTATTTCTATTTTGGAAAATATTCTTCTGGATCTATACAGTTTTAAAAATATTTAATGTTGTGTCATGATTCATAATAACGTATCTGTGAAACACAAACACAATCATGATCAGAAAAACTGAATTATGTTGCATCAAAGATAATGTATCCATATGAGAAAGTACATTATCACGATGTGGAAAAGTGGTACGTCCTATTAGAACAATTTACAAGGCTATTACACTTTTTAATGAGACATACATTAGTTCACTTTCCTTATACCTAATTTATATTCATCAAGGATTCTATTTGATATATCTCAACAAATGCTTTCCAAAAGATACATTTTGTAAAAAGAAAAAAACCAGAGAAAATTAAAGTTACAGTATATCGTTTGGCATATAACAATAAGAGGGTCACCAAACTTAATGAATCACAAGGTTAAACAACCATTAGACTTTACCATTAGAAAACAGGAGGTTCAGACAGTAAGCCAACAACCACCAAATAACAAGGAAAAGAGAAATGCAGAACTACTATAGTTCTTAATACTTTAAAGGAGAAGCAAAAAAACGAAGGGTACAAGTAGATAATGCAATTAAATATGACCTCAATGTCTTCACAACTTGCATCTTACGGCATAATACTCTCAACTCCAGGAGCATCTAAGCTAATGACAGCTTGCAATTCATATGCACGCTGCTGCAGATCTGTTGAGTGAGAAGCTGACAATTCTTCCACCAAATATTGACACTGCAAGGGAAGAAAGATTTTTACCAATCGATATATACTTCCAAGACAGGCCAAAACAAAATGAAAATGACAACATTATAGCTAATCATTGATTAGATGAATGTCAACATTATAATGGTGTCCAGAAAACTTCAACTTAAAAAAAGCATTAAACATTCATCATGCAACTATAGAGCTCTGGACCTCAAAGCTAGGGCCACTGATCATTGACACACACATGCACACATTTTTACGTGCACTTTACAAACCCTACACATAATATCTGAATGTTATCAAGCACATTTCTCCCTTAACTACCATTAACCATTGTATAAAGTAAAATTGTACTATGTTTCTTTCTTATAGAAACTATTTCAAAAGAGCCCCACCACCAACCACTTAAAAAAACATTTCAAGTCTGATTCAACTTCTTGCTGACTAAGCGTTCAATCATAAAGAGCCCCACCACCAACCACGGAAACCATACATACATACATACAGATAGTCAACCATTCCAGAGCGGATGATCTACAGTGCACACATCCGTTTTGTGAAAGCGCGCGGCTTGAGCAGCTGCCAGTCCGTTTTGTTTTCAAGTCTCCTTTCTGTTTTCATTTTACATCTTTAATTTTTGTTTCAAAACAATTTGTTACTTTAGGATGTAGAATCGCTTGTTAGCGCCTTAGAGTTTAATCTAGTGTGATGACTGATGGTAATCTATAAAGGGATGCCTGTTCAATCTAGTGTGCAAACTGTTGAAATTAATGCACATTTGTGCTAAATAAATGTGTGGAAAAATCTGGAAACTTGAAGAAAGTACTATTGCTTGAAGGGAAGTCGGCAGCCACATGCAACCTTGGAGAAAAGTATAGAGAAATAAAATATGTGGCTAGGAGAGATTGTCCAAGTCGGTGGGACTTGGACAATGGCGGCAGCTTTAGTGTATAAATAGATGTTGTTGTCTCTTGTACAAAGCCAAGAGATTGAGGAATGGCCAAATAGCCAGCAAAGAGAGAGAATAGGCCAATAAGCCTAGCAAATAGTTTCTAGTTGTTGAAGGCCAATAAGCCTACTCCTCTATAAAGCCTTGTACCCTCACCAATCAAAGTGTAAGGGCCAAATAGCCCAAAACCTAAGGGCCAAATAGCCCAAAACCAATCTAAACCAAAGTGTGATGGCCAATAGGCCATAAAACTAAGAGGCCAATTAGCCTACACCATGCTATGTACTATTCTCCTCCAAATCTAATAAAATCACTTTGTTTTCCCCTACAATTCTAACACAAATTGTACAGTGAGATTTGAACTTTCAATCTTCCAACTAAATTTTCAGTCAAAGATCTGCAAGTTAACAAATCTTATCTTCTCTAGGGGAAAGCAAAATAAAAAGGCATAAATACCAGTAGAACTCTTACGATCTTACAATTATGTGTTTGGGCCAAAAGAAATTGCACGCCAGCCTACTTCTCACAAAGGCCCACGAAACAGAAAAGACGGAGGACTGGGCTTTGATTCAAAAAATAGAGAAAGCCTAAAACCAAATCAGAAGGCCCATGATTTTTACAAAATGGCAATCAACCACTGAAGCAGGTCAGTAAAAATTGAAAGAAAAATTAGATGGGGCCCAGCTTCTGGCTCACCACTGATCTCAAAACCCAGAGTGCAAAATCAGCAAAGATCTTTAGAGAGCCTATTCTCATAACCCACATGACTACCTGACTTGGAAAAGTCAACAATTTCAACTATCACAAAAAGTTGATTGAGAATTAAATGAAAGCAGGTCATTAGCTAAAGACTTCTCTGAAACTCTGGGGCTAAAAGATCAGAATCCTTTTTACAATTTTGCATCAGAGCAGGTACTTCCAAAAGATAAGCACACTACAATCTCAAAGAGATAAGCAGGAAACAGGGAGTTGTTCAAACTGGAAAATCAAAACTAACCATCGTAGTTTGAGCTCTTACAAAGCACAGTTAAATTGGAAGAAGGGTTAGGTTTCCTTTCAAAAAATACAAGGAAGTGACTGCCATAGGAACTGACTGTTGAGGGCTTATCTGCCAGAATTGATAAAACCTCTTTCTTTCTTTGCATTTAAAAATGAAAGATCTTTTGAGAATTTTTTGCCGCCCATTATTAAAAGAAAGAAGCCCTACTCCAAAACATTTCTCATAAATATAGGAGAGGGTAAATAGAGCAAAGGACAATCAATCAAACAACCAAAAAATCAACCAAAGACCAAAACTCAAAATGATCACTTGATCTCTGAGAATCTTCAAACAAACTGAAGCAACCAAAAAATCATTGAGCCTCAAGAAAGAAGCCAACTACAAATCGAAACCTCCAGTTTCAGACTGAGTGTAACGACCCGGTCCAAAATAAATTGGTTTGCCCCCTAGAATATTTTATTAGGTTTAAAGTTGACTTTTTGACTGGAAAAGAATTTGGGAATTTCGACTATACCGTTGCGTAGAGCACGGCGAGATGAGTCCGTAGAGACGTAGTGAGCTTAAATCGGAGCTGTAACGAAGAAGTTACGAGCAAAACACCACCAGTGGCAAAATCGTAAATATTTTGAAATGGGTTTTTGGTTAAAAGACAGAAAAGCCCTCAGTTCTCTCTCTCTCTCTCTCTCCTCTTCGCTCGACAGCAGCGCAGCCGGCCACGTTTTGGCAGGCCGTTCGTTCGTCCGGCCACCAAACTCGACGGGGCCGGTACCAAAATGACCGGGCTGCCTCCCTCTTCCCATCCCGACCAATTTCAGCCGCTGGAACCGCCGGAAATTGAAGAAATCCGAGCTGTTTTCGGACAGATTTTGACAGATTTTCCAAGTCTTCGTTCTCTCTCATTTCTCCACCAAATCGGACGAATGAGGTATGGATTCTCGACTATTTTTCATGATCTAGCTGCCTGTTGGATAGGATTCCAGAAATTTTGAGAGTTTGTAGTTCGATTTTGGAATTAGGTTTCGGCCGGTTTTCAAATTGAAATTCCGGCCACTTCCGTCGATAATTTGGGGTATGTCCAAGAACAAAAGTAACTCCAAATTAGGTGTATTACCTAGGGTAGGAGTCTTGGCACGAGATTCTAAGATTTTCCGGCGATGCGATATCGCTTTGGACACCCACGCCCTGCCGGCCCGTGTGGCGGCGCGTGGGCACTGTAGCTGAGGGGCATTTTTGTTCCAATGCGATCCTCTCAATGTCACGAGCACGTAGGTGTGCTCGGATTTCAATTTGGATACCGTTAGGGTTCCGAATGGATATCGCATATTGCGTATTTTTCGGGTTCGCTAGGTTTGGACCGTTGGATGGTCCTGAGGTTATAATATGTTGATCTAGGTTTTACTAGGATCGTATAGGATTCGACGGATCGTAAAACGGAGTCCCGGATACTCCGGAAATGCCAACCCTAGGGCGAGGATTTCAGTGACCGTCCGATCGCGCGATCGTGAGCGATCCGACCGTCCGATCTGGACCAAACTTGCAGGACATGTGTCCTAGACCTTGTAGAACTCATAGAAACTATTGGATCGGAATTCGGAGGTCGTGGGCCCCACGGGCTCGTTTGACCAAGGGTTGGGTAGTTTGACCTTGGGATTGACTGTGAGACTTCCTAGATAGTGTTACCTTCCTAGGAAGATTAAAATGACCGTAGTGACGGGTTTTGATTGTGTGTTGGTTATGAGGGATTAGGATATTAGTTACGGTTCGAAATTGGGGGAGTATCGGATACTATACTAGGGTCGAGGTTTATGAAATAGAGGTTTATATTTATATATAATCTTGTGTGTATACAAGGTATAAAAGAGCTTAGACGAAGGTCGTGGGGCCTGCGGGCTCGGTTGACCGATTTTGGAAGGTTTGATCCTCGGTTGACCGTAAGTTTTCCGAGGTAGTTTACAATCTGAAAAGTGCTAGGACGACCCTTTTGGATGGGTCTTGACCGTCATTTGATTGATGTTGAGTTTGTGGGTCTATGAGATTATTGTTATGGTTTTGTGATGGAAAGTTTATGCATATTGTTTTAATGGTGTATTTAAATGCTTGTTATATTTAATAGTTGAATTCTTTATTTTTGTAAAGTATTGATCATATGTGGGTTTGACATACTCAAGTGTCTTGAGTTTTTATATAATATTTGAGAAGGTACTTTCGTTGTTGATTATGTGTGGGATACTTGGAATGTTAGTTGGATGCTTTTAGCACTATCTTAGGTACCTCCCCGGTTATTGGGTTTTATGTTTGAGATTGAATTATTTTGCCCAGGCCCGTCGGAGAGTTTGCCCAGGCCCTTCGGAGATTTATTTATTTTGCCCAGGCCCGTCGGAGTTTGTCCAGGCCCTTCGGAGATTTATTTATTTTGCCCAGGCCCGTCGGAGAGTTTGCCCAGGCCTTTCGGAGATTGATTTATTTTGCCCAGGCCCGTCGGAGTTTGTCCAGGCCCTTCAGAGATTTATTTATTTTGCCCAGGCCCGTCGGAGAGTTTGCCCAGGCCCTTCGGAGATTTATTTATTTTGCCCAGGCCCGTCGAAGAGTTTGCCCAGGCCCTTCGGAGATTGATATATCTTTCCCAGGCCCGTCGAAGTTTGTCCAGGCCCTTCGGATGCCTTCCTAATACGATGCCTTGGAAGGAAGGAATAATGTTTCAATGTGTTTTTATCGGAGTTGTGACTGTTGAGAGAAAGAACTACGTGTGGCTTGATCCCTGAGTAAGGGTACGTAGGCAGCCTAGGGTGATGCCTGGGTGCAGCCGCGGGTTAAACCTCACTTAGGTTGTGTTAGTGAGGTTGGTTCGGACCTCGTTGTTGGTCCTGAAACTTGGTTGAATTGAGACTTGCTCGGCAGACTAAATTTTATCTGTGTGGTGTGATTGTAGTCCAGATGGTTAGGAAAGCCATTTGGATGTTGTGTGCTTCGAGCCGATGCCCTAAACTAATTATGTTGGGGTTAGGATGTTAGAAATCCCACGTTGGATATTTGGAGAAGTTAGATGTTGTAAACTTTGCTTTCGGCATTCGTAAGTGTGCTTGAACTTATATTTGCCCGGTTTAAGGTATTTTTGGCTTAAGAACTTTATTGGTAGGCTGGTTTCGGAATATTAGAAGGTCGGAGGCCATTTATGTGAATTGCTTGAGATTTATATTGTGCGTGTTGTCGATTGGGATATTAAATGTATTTTTGCAGGTTGGAACTTTGGGGGAATGTTCAAATTACAGGGGAGACTCCGCCGGATTTTCGACAGAAAGTCTCGTGCCCTTACTCCTTTTGAAGGAGGAGATTACCTTTTTAAGGAGTGAACCCGGCATGGGTGTGATGCCGGGGTCTCTGCAGGATTCGTCTCGGGTTTTGTGAAAAATTCGGGGCGGGTCCTGTCACTGAGAAAAAGTCATTCAAAACGAGATTTCTCTCGTTACAAATTTGGTTCAGCAATAATTTTAAGGACCTAGTTGTATCATACAAGGATTTTTACTGGTCCGAGAGAGAGAGAGAGAGAGAGAGAGAGAGAGAGAGAGAGCCAAAAACCCCCCTGAACTATAACGCTAGTTGAAATGTCAACCCCGAATTATTTTTTCAGCCAATTTAGTCTTCAAATTATTTTAAATGGTCAATTTACCCCTTGCCATTAAGTTTTTAGACTTCCATCCAATTTTCTGTTGAGAGAGAGAGAGAGAGAGAGAGAGAGCCAAAAACCCCCCTGAATTATAGCGCTAGTTGAAATGTCAACTTCGAATTATTTTTCAGCCAATTTAGTCTTCAAATTATTTTAAATGGTCAATTTACCCATTGCCGTTAAGTTTTTAGACTTCCATCCAATTTTCTGTTAATTATAAGGGTAAGTTCGTCATTTTACAAGGACAATACCCAAAAATAATAAAGAAAATGTAAAATATTGATTTCTTCTCTCTTTCTTTTTCTTTTTTTCCCTTTCCTTCTTCCTCTCTCTCTTTTCTTTCTTCTTTCCCTGTCTCTCTCCAGGTCTGCCCCAACCAAACCCAGAATGCGTTGGAGCTTGGTGGTGTTGGGGGTGTTGACAAATACCCCGACAATTGCCTTAACTTGGATGCTAGGATGGTGACCGACCGGCGTGGTAGCAGTGGTGGTCGGTGTCGGCCACCGAGCTGGTTGCTGCTCCAGTTTTCTCCTCTTCTTCGTGTTGCTTGAACTTGTCTCCTCCTCCTCCCCTTAACACCTTGAATCCTATCACTCCCCTTCTCTCCTTCTTCTCTATCTTGCACATCAATCTGTGTATCTCTCTTCCTTCTACAACATCAAGCCGTCAATGAAACGGGGCGTATTGCTCAATGTCGGATCCAAAAAAATGGCATTCCTTTTTAAGCTCTTGCTATATATTGAAACCATCAAAGATCCGAAACCGATTTCCAAAACTGAGCCAATACTCACCACATTCCCCACCCGTCCTCAAAGATTTCCTCCAAAACTCTCGCTTTTGAAGATTCCCTCAAACAATTGCATCAACAACCCTAATTTCCTACAACATTGCTCAAAAGAAGAAAAGAAACAAAAAAGTGACGCCGCCTCTCCCTTCTTCAAGAATCTGACCTTCGGGAGAGGTTCTGAAAGTTTGAGAGGCTTGGAGGATGTAGATGGTGGTGGGAGAGCCAGGAAGCTTTGTAGACCAGAGAGAATTCTCCATGAAAATGGGTTTTTAATTTTTGTTTTTTAAATTTAATTATTTTAAACTTAAAAAAATTAATTTTTAATTGAACAGTTAGTCATGTGCCTATCATGTGACATTTAAACGGAAAATTGGATGAAAACTAACGGCAGGGGGTAAATTGGCCATTTAAAATAGTATGATGATTAAATTGGCTGAAAAAATAATTCAGGGTCGACATTTCAATTAGCGTTATAGTTCAGGGGGGTTTTTGGCTGTTTACCCGTTAGAAAATGGGTGTCGTGGTTTTGGTTCAGGGAGGAGGCTGGGTTTTGGGTATGAGAGAGAAGAAGAGAGAGGAGGAGAATTGGGGATTTTTTTTAATTTTAAAGTTTTATTTAAATTTTTAATACTTAGATTAAGTTTTTTAAAATATATATTTTTATTTTTAAATTTGTAATTTTTTTTGCACACATGGCACTTAGTTCAGCAAAATTGTGGGTTCCATTGATGCCACGTCAGTATTTTTAATAGATTTTTGGCTTAATTGCTACAGTGCCCTTTGAAACATTGGTCAATTCTCACTTTACCTCTTGGAAGTTAAAGTGACCCATTTTGCCCCCTTGACCAAGGTGTGGTGTTCCACAGTACCATCTACCATCAATTTCATCCAAAAATATGTTAATTTTGATGACGTTGCAAGGGTGTTTTAGTAATTTTATGCACCTAAGTTTTTTATTCATAAATTTGAGTGGGTAATGTAGCAAAGTGGAGCCCACCTCCATCATGGATAAAAAAATTAATAAAAAAGTAATTACTTTAAAAAATTAAAATAGAAACATAAAATTTAAAACTTTAAAAATTGATCTCTCTCTCATATCTTAAACTAACCTTCCTGATACACAGTGATCTGACCAACACCAGAAGCCCCAAGAACCATTTTCCCAAAATAGTTTACAAGATTACAAGCTGAGAGAATATCAACAGCGAAGAGATTATCCTGTCAAAAGTCACAGCATTAAGAAATACAAGTGCATGTACTAAGAACAACTGTAGCAAACACATTTCAATATATACATGAATGTAACAAAGAGGGGTTCCTTGCTATTTTTTTGGGAATAACAAAAATGTTGTTTCCAAAATAACTCTATTCTTCTGGATGGAGATAATTGGCAGCCCAACTCTCTCTCTCTCTCTCTCTCTCTCTCTCTCTCTCTCTCTCTCTCTCTCTCTCTCTTCGTTGTTTTAGGATGGGAGGCATGAAACTTGAAAGCTGATTAATGGGTATGGGGGTTGGGGTTTTGTGGGAGTGGGGTAGAAAAAACATAGGGAGGGTTGTTGTTTTGATTTTTGGGATGGATGGGTTGTTGTTTTGATTTTTGCCGAGGGGTGGGTTGTTGGGTTCTGCCCGGGAGAGTGGTTTACCAGGGGAGGGGGGGCGATGAGTTTTTGGGTTCTGCGCAGGGAGGGGGTGGGTTGTGGTGGAGGAATATGTTCTGGGTTCTGCATAGGGAGGGATGGGTTAGGGGTGGGGGGTGATGGCTTTCCAAGTTTTGGACAGGGAGATGGGTGGGTTGCAGGTTGGGGGGAGCTTTGGGTTTTTGGTGCGTGGGGGGTTACAAGGACAGAGAAGAAAGGGGAGGATTTGGTGCGATTGGGGGAGAAAGGATGGGTTGGGTTTTTTTTTCCCCTTTTCTAAAATATATATTTTTTTCAATTTTATGTTTATATTTTAATTTTTTTTAAAGTAATTAAAAAACTTAGGTGCACAAAATTACTAAAATACCCTTGCCACGTCATCAAACTTGACAGACTTTTGGATGAAGTTAACGGTAGGGTAATGTGGAATATCAAACCTTGGTCAAGGGGGCAAAGTGGGTCACTTTAACTTTCAAGGGGTAAAGTAAGAATTGACCAATGTTTTAAGGGGTACTGTAGCACTTAAGCCTAGATTTTTTGACAGACTTAACGGTGGGGGGCAGAGTGAGATGCAAAACATCGGTCAATGGGGTAAAGTGGGTCATTTTAACTTTCAGGGGGCAAACTGAGATTTGACCATAGTTTCAAGGGGCACTACAGTAAATAAGCCTTCATTATATGCACCTCAAGTAGGATATCCACTTTTCTCTGAGCTGAAATTTCAAAGCCACATATTTTCATAATTGCTGTAACAGCATAAGCCTGTATGAGAAGAACAGACTCACTTCAGTTTCAACAAGTAAGATACAAATATACACACAAATACAAATGGTGCTTTTTTTAATGAATAGATAACCAAAATATAAAATGAGAGAAGAAAATTTTAAACCTATGAAATACTCATAAAATACGAAATTAATGGTTGTTTACTTCTTAAGCAAATGGAAAATAAAAATTGTGTGGCCTGCGTTATCTTCTTTATTCTTTCCAAAAGCCCTCATGTTTCTATAACTACACAAAGACCCTACTTATTCTAATCAAGGTAAATTTGTACTTCAAATTACCTTTTAATCCCAATTCTTAAGAATATAGATATATATATATATATATTTAATTATAGAAATGTGGATGCATCTACGATGAGATGGGAAACTAAAACCATGTCTCTCCCAGGAAACCTTATGTCATATTAGTGATCTTTTTTCACTTCACAAACACCAATTCGTAACCTTCGTACTTAACATTTGTCATTCAGTGTTTGAACTATAGGTTCAATATCCCACACTTCATATTTAGTGATAAATGGGATTGCCTATTTCTATTTTAGCCAATCACTTAACTTGTCGACATTCATAAAGTGAGATTTATTATAATCATAGCCCTTAATGATTGTGGTAGCTACTAATAAACTAAATGTATCATCAATTTGTGACCCCACAATTCTCATGTGCACGTGCATGCATAATTTATAAGCATCTCATTGCTTTGGGGTACCAATGCCTCTTCAGGGGCTTATGTTGTCACTTATGGGACAAACATCTCTTTTACAATGAATTAATTAGAATATGTGGGTCATAACCTCCTATAGAGTGTTATTTTCTATAGGGCTTGAATTTTTCAAATAATCTCCACTTCTGGGGAGCTAAGTTTTTAGAACTTATATTTCTGTCATGCTCCAGGCATGCATTATATATAGTCACTTATTGTCATGTTAATGGATTGTGATACATGAATATCAATCCATACTTGCTTATTCATAACTTTATATATGTATTATCTTGATGAGACAAAAGCGGACCGATTCAACCCTAACGGCGAGAAAATTGTCTCAAAATGTAGGAAAATAAACTCACCATCATTATCAAGTCAAATTGACTGGATTGGATAATGTGGGAGTTGTGCTTATAAGCGTCTTGACAAGAGACAAATATGTGACCATTTTAGTAGGCACATTCAATAAAACTGGTGAAGTGATCCATAATTAAATGTTGTATGGGCTCACAAATATCCCTTTGAATTTTTTAAGGAAAAATGTCTCAAAGTCAATTTTTGACCGAGATGATTTTATGACAGCTTTTATTTGTGAGCATTCTTTGTAATGATATTTGTTGGACAAGACAATATTTTGAGTCTTTAAACAATGTTCTTACAAATTTATAAAAATCTTATGTATCATTGTGGAACATGAATTGCCAAGATAGTCATGCCACAACATAAAAGTTTAAAATGATTTAATTGAAAATTGGATACAATGTTGAGGATTTAGACTATAAAGGGGAAATTGGGGGAAAAAAAAAGGTTCATATCCTTAATTTTCTTTAAAAAAAGGATGTGGGATGAATCAAAAGTTAGGTACAAGTTAAGGGGGCAAATCACTAGTATACCCTATTTTGTATTTTATTTTGTCAAGTTTCCGATGTGAGACTCATATTCTTCAACATGCTCCCTTAAATGGGACCAGCACATAGTAGGCCACATGTTAGCACCATGTTTTGAGTAAGGGTAAACATTCAAGTCTAACATATGAACACCACATGTTGGGTAAGGGGTAAGGGTGAAGGCCCAATCAATCAATCTCACTCTAATACCATGTTAAATTCAGAGAGACGGACCAATGATCCACTACTAACAACACCGATATTGTTTCTAACTTAACTACCTACAAAGTCTAATAGGTGTGAGGTTTTATCACAAAAGGCCTCGGTGTTTTTAGTAGTAGAACTATTCATTATATTTTGTATTTTATTTAGTCAAGTTTCCAATGTATGACTCATATTCTTCAAGAAGGTGTTGATCTTTTCTTTCCCCATGTGTGTGTTGGTGGTTCCAAAGAGAAAAAAAAATGAAGGAAAAGATGGTTTTTAGTAGGGTGGGCATTGGAACTAGAAAGCTGGAACATCGAACTGGATCATATGAAAAAAATGAAAAAAAAAATAGTTGACTCAAAATGTCAACAAACTGGCACCGAATCACACCGGATCAATTCTAATTTTAGTTTCACACCGCACCAAATAAGACCGGACCAAACCAAACTGGTTATGTATAATTTCTTTTTTTACAAAATTATGTAAATCCAATGCTACATTTTTAATTTTATAACTAATATTTTTCCAAGTCCAACTTAAAAATATCTCTCTTTGTATGAATTGGATCATTTGTTAGTTTTCAAGTTCAAAAAATAAATTTTTTGTTAGAATTTGTAAAATAATAATAATAATGCGTTTCAAAGCCGGAACCAATGAGAACCAGACCAGCTGATTTTTTTGAAAAATTTGCTAGAACAAAACCAAACTGATTAAATAATACTGATTGCAATTCCTATTTGAAGTGAAAACCAAACCGAACCGGATTGGGCCACCCCTAGTTTTTAGCTCGAAACGTGAGATCCCATTCAGCTCCTACTTCACGAGTTTCTCTTTCCAGAAACCCATTCTCTCTCTTCTGCTTCCTTCAAACTTCTTTCTACCACAACTTTCATTCTACAACTCCAATTCTTGCGCCGATTTCGCCATTAGGGTCGTAGGAACGAGCTCTACAAGACAGGTAAACCATTCTTGGATTTGGTTAAGTTTCGAAAATCTCCTCTTTTTGAGTTAGTGACTGATTAGGCTTTAATATCTTGTTTCCAAGTGTGGTTTGGGAGAATGGTGGTCGCTAGGCAGCTCATTGAAAGTTGAGGATTACTTTGGAGATGTTAAGGTCAGATTTGTTTACCATACTTGCCGCTGGAATTCTAGAGTACATTGATTTAAGTGAGATTGTATAAATGATTTTACATGTTATTTGATGAAATGCAAGTACACTAGGTGAAGAATCTACCTTGGGCTGAACCTGCAGAGAACTCAGAGTAATTTTGGGTTGAAGTGGAAGTTGGGTAAGTTTCTACTTTCAAGTTTGCGGCCTTGGTAGTTGGGTGTGTTGGATAATTCTGAGTTTGATGAGGATAATAGTCATTTTATCTTGAATTTGGGACTGTTCTGGTGTTTAAAGCTGATTAGAACTGAATGTCAAAGAATGAGATGGATGTTGATGAAATCTGCATTTATGCAGAAATCTGAGTATGTGTTCTGTTCTGGACAGAATGACCTAGTTCGCACTTATGTTTTAAACTGGGTTTTGATGTGTGAAAAATAGACATTTCGATGAGTATTTAAAATCATTCAAATTGGAGTTAAATTGGATTTTTGGCAAATTTTCAAAGTTGGCATTATTCTGCAGAAAACAGAAAACTCTGCAGCTAGTCTGTTTTGGATTTAGTCTTTGACTGGCTTCCTTAACTCTGAATTCGATGAACTTCTGATATGTTGAAGTTTTATGTCTACGTGCGATCTGGAAATGTTCACACCATTTTGAATCAAAATGGATTTTTAATGATTTTCCAAAGGCAAAGTGTTCCTGCCTAAATTGTTTAACAAAACTGAAGTTTCTGTTTTTAATGGAAGTCTTTGATTTCTTTTATAAGTCCAGAGCAGAATCACATGATCAGAGGCTTTCCTAAGAGAGAGAATTGTCCTAAGAAATGGATATTTGGGGTTTAACAAACCCAAGAAGTGGAAGTGGGTTGTAAATCAAAGTGTTAATGTGAGTTGGGGTTTGATGTTGATCCTTGTTGTTTATAGGGATTTCTGACTCTCTTGGAGCTCTACTGTGACGTTTGGTTTTACGGTTGTGTGGACACCAGGTAGGGGGTCTTCACTCCTTGGTTAGAGGTTTTCCTGTGCATATATATGTGAATATTGATGCGTGAGGTCTCTGCATCGTTTTTGGTTGCTAGTATGCATGTTAGGGAAATGGATTTGATTTTTTACAGCATGCCCTTCTTGTGATACAATTGATACTTAATTTGTGACCTGAGAGTGAAAGGAGCCGTGTGACTACCTTGGGTTTGATCCCCTAAACCTCCGCAGGATGAACTTGTACTGATGTAAAAGGTATGAGTTTATGTGGTACGGCGTTAAAAGGACACTCTTGCTAACCCTTATTGTTGTGTTTGTTAGAGTTTGCAGGACTCTATCTACAATTCAAGTCAGTATTCTACAATCTATATTATTGTTGTATTGATTCAATTATATCTATATAAAATATATTTG